CGAAAATGTTTCGTCAGGAAAAGTCAATAGAAAAAAACATCATACAGAAAGGCGGTTGAATTTTCCCTCAGCATTATTTTGGTTTGCATGTGTGTCTTCAAACTGAGCTATAGAAGTAAATTCTTGCAAAGGGAACAGTCAAGGTGCTTGTCTTCTATGGGTTCGAAGATGTGTGCGTAGGTTGGACGATTGGGAAAACTTCTGGTTGCAAACTGAGCACTCAAATGGTTTCTCTCCCGTGTGGGTCCGCATGTGTTCCTGGAGATGAAAGCACTTTTTGTTGCAAACAGGACACTCGAATGGCTTCTCTTTTGTGTGAGTACGCTGATGTGTCACCAAGGCAGAAGACGTTGAGAATGCTTTCCCGCAGGTGGCGCACTCGAATGGCTTTTCGCCTGTGTGGGTTCGCAAATGTGTCTGCACATAGCTACGCGAGGAGAACTTCTTGAGGCATACGGGACACTCGTGTGGCTTCTTGGGCTCCTCTCCTGTGTGGGTTTGGAGATGTAAACGCAAGTTAGTCGTTGAAGTATATGCCTTGTCGCAAAGAGAGCACGCGTATGGCTTTTCACCAGTGTGGGTGAGCATGTGTGACCTTAGATCCGACGACTGTGCAAACTTCTTCTTGCACACAGAGCACTCGAATGGTTTTTCGCCGGTGTGGGTTTGCATGTGTCGCTTTTGATGGTGTGATAACAATGTCTTCTTACAAATGGTACATTCAAATGTCTGCTTAGAATCTGTGTGTGTGAAATAATGTGACTTCAGTCCGCTAGATGAGAAATAAGTTTTGTTGCAGACGGAACACTTAAATGACTTATCTCCAGTGTGTCTTTTCTGGTGTAATTTCAGACTGCTGGAAGATGAGAATAGTTTGTCGCAGACCGAACATTTAAGTAGCTCCTTATTGGTGTGGATTCGGAGGTGCGCGCGCAAATTGCCCGAAAGAGAGAACTTCTTGTTGCAGATGGAGCACTCGTGCAGCTTCTCTATCTCCCCCGTATGGGTTCGGAGATGATACTGCAGACTTGAAGATGCAGAAAATTTTTTGAAGCAGATGAGGCACGCATATGGCTTATCTCCTGTGTGGGACCGTACATGTAATTTCCGTTCTTTAGATGTCAGGAATTTTTTGGGACAAACGGAACATGCAAATGGCCTTTCACCCGTGTGCGTTCGAGAATGTCTGACTAGATCATAATTGGCAGCATATGACCTTTTACAAACAGGGCACTCGAATCGCTTTTCACCAGCGTGTGTTGCTCGCACATGTCTTCGTAAATTGGACGATAGAGAGAACTTCTTGTTGCAGACGGAGCACTCGTGCGGCTTCTCTCCTGTGTGGGTCACAAGATGAGACTTCAGCCCGTTCAGTATACTGATCTTTTTGCTGCAGACAGAGCACTCATATGGCTTCTCTCCTGTGTGGGTGCGCATGTGCAGCCGCAGACAGACCGGTACAGCAAACGTCATGCTGCAGACCGAGCATGTGTAAGGTCTTTCCCCTGAGTGGCTTCGCATATGTACTTTCACATAGCCCTGTGTAGAAAACTTCTTGTCACAGGTGGGGCACTTATACGGCTTTTCCCCCGTATGGACTAGTCTATGGGCTTTTTGATGGTGTGATGAACGAAATCTCTTGAGGCAAATCGGGCATTCAAATGGTTTCTCTCCTGTGTGGATTTTAAGATGTAAACGCAAAAGTTTCGAAGAAGAAAAACTCTTGAGGCAAACGGAGCACTCAAATTCTTTTTCATCTGACTGAGCCTGCAGATGTTTCTGAACATGGTCTTGGTTGGAAGCCGGCTTGACGAGCTTCGCTTTCTTCTCCCCTCCTTGCTCCTCACTGTGAACTTTGCACTCCAATTTCTCCTCTGCTATGTGGTCGTTACTCTTCACTATGCACTCTACTTTCTCCTCT